GGCCGGGAGCGGCCACTGCACTCCAGTCTTTGACAGAGTGAGACTCCAACTCAAAAAAAAAAAGAAAGCAGAACTCAGCCTAGGGCCCTGCTCCAGCCCAGAGAATGAATGCTAAGTTACCAAGAGGCCATCTAAGTTGAGTCCCTTTTAGTGTTCCACTGGGCAAAGCGGTTGAGAATCCTGTTCACACAGCCTGGCATCTGTGCTGGAAGCTCAGGCCAGAGTACTGCAGCCACCCAGACACACCACCATGCCCACCTTGCTGGGAGATCCGCTTCACCAATAGGTTGAGTTGCTCTGCCACCACCTTCTTCTCACTCTTCATAAGGTGGGAGAAACAGCTCTGCAGGGCAGAGGCCACGGCCTGGGAGTTGCAGCTCACACTCTGCCTCAACTGTGTTGCTGCATCATCTCCAATCAGGAGCTGGAATTCAGGCACCTCTACGGGAAGCCAACCCCGGGCCCATATCAGGAACAGTACAATGGAACCCAAAGAAGCAGGGACCTGAGCCTCCCATCCCACCCCTAACCAAGAAGCCAGGCAACACTAAGCAAACCTTGCAGTGGAAACCAACCACTCACCACTAACCCTGGGCAACCAGCCCCATCTCACAGGCCTGGCCCACTGGCTGCAAAAACTGCTTCATGAGCCCAACATGTTACAGTTCGTGAGATACTGGCCTCTGTTCTCTGTTACCGCTGTGGTCTGGTTTCCCCACGCATCCTTGGCCCCACATGAATACCCTCTGCATTCTGCCCAACCTTACTCTTCAGAAAGGTTACAATCTCCTCAACTGGCCGGAAGCCACACAAGCCCTGGAAGGGGGTGAGGGCGATGGCCATCTCTGGCTTGTGGTTGGCATCAGGGTAGTGCTGTGGAGCCTGGAGGTGCATCTTCTCTGCCAGCTCCTGTGGGGTGGCCAGAAGAGGAGGATGGTCAGGGTGCAGCCCTCAACCAGCAGGAACACCAGTGCCACCCAGCCCCTGCCCGCCACCCACCCCAGTGGCAGGATGACAGTGGCTTCCTACCTCTGGCAAGGAGCCAGTCAAGGCACGATGCAGAAACTTGGGGTTCAGCCAGCCCAGGGCAGGGAAATGGGCCAAATCTGGGGGAGAGCTGGGGCAGACTTTAAGCAGCTTGGCCTGCAGATCAGGAAACCCAAATGCCAGGCCAGGTTCTGACACTAACGAGCTGTATGACTTTAGGTAAACTGCTCCCTTTTCAGGGTCTTACTTTGTCTATCTAGAAACAATGAGTTCAGGCAGACAATTGCTTAGGATGGGATTCAGGGGCTTATGTAGGAAGACCCCATGTGGGTGGAACTGAGGGTACCTGCAAGTTGAACTCTGTGAGAGCATGGTGGGTAAATGGCACATATGCACAGGCCTGGGCTGGGTGAGGGGAGACCAGGAACAAGCTTCTAGGAATGAGCTCAGAGAAACTCCCCTGGCACAGGCTAGTCATCTAGACTTAGTTGCTGCATGTCACCATCTGGCTTTGCAGAGCTAAATTGGGAGCTGTCAGACCCGGATTTAGCCTTGGGCGGGAGCCTGGCATGGGTGGGGTAAAAGCAGCAGTAAAAGTCATGGGTGGGTCTCGGCAGAAGCCTTTCTCTATCCTGACCTCTGCACCCCCACTCCAGTCCTATACCTTGTTAGGGTGTGCCTGGATGGACAGGGCTGTTTCAACTGACAGCACTTTGAAGAGGAATGGCAGGCTGCCATTAAAGGTGTTCTTGACCTTTGAGCCCAAGCAGTCCTGGTTCTCAGCAATCCATTGACCTAGGGTCTTCTGCGAGATGCGGTTGTCAAGGATCTTGGCATCGCCCCGGGGGTGTGTCCCCATCCACAGCTGGAAAGATAGAAATCTTGGGAGGGAAGTGGGAAGAACCTGGCACCCCCAGTAGGCCTGTCCCAAGCACCGTTATGCTGTGCTCCCCACAGGGCAGCTGAGTCCTGGGACAGACCTCCCAGGTCTGGGTACAAATGCTCATGCCATCACAAACATACAGGGAGGCAGCAGACCCCAGACCACCAGAAGTCAGGAGACCTAGAGTAAGCTCTGCCTCTAACCAGCTATGAAGCCTTGGGCTAATTATTTTCCTTCTTTATGTGTAGTTCCCTTGTTTGTCCCAAGAGGAGAAGGGCACTGCCAAGGTCACTGATAACCTATGACTCTCAAATGGTTCTGTGAAGGGTTAATATTAATTTATTCCAGTCTCAGAACAGAGGTTAAAACTTTCCCAAGCTTTGGCTTTTTCTCCACTCAATAGGCAGGATAAATAATATTTTAGGTTAATGAAAGTGCAAAAAATAATCAAAGTAAAAAAATTTAATTTTCAAAGAGGGATGAATTAAAATTCACGAAGTGCTGAGCATGGTTGGGGGGGGTGAGGGTACTGGAAATCCCAGCCTGCTAGGGCAAAACCTCTCCTTTGGCGCCAGGGTCTGGTCCATTAACCTGCCAGGATCTCAGAGCCACGAGGGCCTCCTCCCTCCTTGCGGCCCCCACCCTTCCCAGAGGATCGCGGTCACCTATCTCAGGCTCTATCCTCTCGCCTGCGAAGGTGGGCTGACACAGCCCGGGGCTCACCTCTGCATAGGGCTTGTTCTCTGAGATCTGGGCCAGTGGGTCACTGCTGGCCAGCAGACGCGCCACCTCGCTGTTGGAACCCATCTTCCCCCAGGCATACTGCTGCACAGCACAGGACAGTGGGAACACTGGGGGCACAGACAAAGGGTCAGCTTCCACTTCACTCCTCAAGCCTTACCCTCATGTCTGGGGAAGCCAGGCGAGAGCTGGAGGTTCTCACTGGGGACAGAGTCAAATCAGGGCTTTGTAGGTTGTTGGGTGAGAACCCTCTCCTCTGCGGGCCTCGATGTTCCCAACTGTAAGATGGGCAGTGAGCATCCTGTGCCTATGTGAGGCAGAGAGCTGCGCTGAGGGGCCGGGAGGAGGCGGAAGAAGCCCTTTCCCACCGCACCTCGTCTGGAAGGGATGCGACCCGGGAGAGTGGAGCCCCCTGCCCTAGAGAGGTGCAATCCCCCTCGCAGGTGCCCCCTGTCTGCCCGGCGCCCACCCATTCTTCCGAAGCCCCAGGAGGGGGCCGGGATTCGTTTCCAGGAGGCGCCCCGCCACCAAACCCACGGATACCCAGACCAACAGCTCACCTCGTGGAGAGGCCATTCTCATCCACTGGACCGGCTTAACGCACGTAGGCCCTACCCGGCAGCCCCCGCGGCCGCTCGCGCACAGAGCATTGTGGGAAATGTAGTTCCCGTCGGGCTGCGCCTGCTCCTGGGCCACCTGCTCAAAGACTGCATCCCTCTCCCCATTGCAGCCGCCTGTCTTGAGGCGCCCCCACCAGCTCAGTCTTGGGTCTCAGTCTTCCTTCCTTCCTTCCTTCCTTCCTTCCTTCCTTCCTTCCTTCCTTCCTTCCTTCCTTCCTTCCTTCCTTCCTTCCTTCCCTCGACACATATTTATTGAAAACCTGCTAAGTACCATGGACTGTTCTAAGGGCTGGAGAATACATCATAGAGCAGGGATCCCCAAGCCCCAGGCCATTGACAGGTACTGGTCCGTGGCCTGTTAGGAACCTACGCATCCCGCATCCCGCACTTCACCTGCTGGGCTGGAAGTGAGCAGCGGGTGAGTGGAGCTCTGCACCCTATCAGATCAGATGGACAACCCTATTGTGAACTGTGCATGCGAGGGATCCGGGCTATATGCTCCTTATGAGAATCTAATGCCTGATGATCCCCCTTCCTCCCCCCTTCCCCTACCTGTGGAAAAATTGTCTTCCAAGAAACCAGTCCCTGATTTTTTTTTTTTTTTTTTTTTGGAATCTCACTCTGTCACCCAGGCTGTAGTGCACGGTCACTGAACCTTTCAAGCTCAGGCAATCCTTCTGCCTCAGCCTTCCAAGTAGTTAGAACTACAGACGCACGCTGCCATACCCGGCTATGGAGTGACAGAGTGAGATTCCAAAACTAAAAAAAAAGCAAGAGCAAGACAGGGAAGATGGGAGGGGATACAGAAAAGGCAGTGGGCAGAACTTTTCAGACTCGCTTGAAAGCATCTTGTTTTACTCTGAGCACCTCAGCAGTTAGAAGCTTGAGAAAAGACTTGCTGTGAGCCGGGCATGGTGCCCTATGCTTGTGGTTACAGCTACTTGGAAGGCTGAGGTGGAAAGATTGCCTGAGCCCAGCAGGTTGAGACTGTGGTGGCCGTGAGCATGCCACTGCCCTCCAGTCTGGGTGACAAAGTGAGATTCTGACTCAAACAAAACAAAACAAAAAGCCAGGCTCAGTGGCTCAGCCTGTAATCCCACACTTTGGGAGGCTGTGAGTGGATTGCCTGAGCCTGCGGGTTCGAGCCCC